GTAATTCGGTAACTTACCCGAGGTTATAGTAACTTACCTGGTAATTTACCTGTAATTTACCGATGGTAACTTACCGTTTACAACCCTGTCTGAATGATAAAATTACGTAAAATCGTTACGTATACATTTTTTATTTAACTTAGAATATTCTACATTATTAATAAAGTTAATCTATGATTTCTAAATATAGATTCGTAGATTACCAAATGTATGCTATGTATAAAATACAATACGTATAAATAAATTTATTAATCAAACGAGATATATACTTAACTGTTAATTTATAAATTTATTAATCACAGATTAAAAAAAAAAAATTTGTAATTATAATACGTAGGACAAAGTTCGCTGCGGTGATAAACTTAATATTCACTTAAAGGTTTTCATTCATATATGAGTGCTGCTGAAGTAAATATTTGAATAGCGGGCATATATGATAAGTCCGCCACAAATATTTACTTACACAGGCTTTCCAACCATATGATAAAAATGATATAATTACATATTCAGTCAAATTTTAGATCGAAATATATAACGATAAGAAAAATTCAATTTTCATAGCTGGTACGTAGTAAATTGCAACGGTAATCTATTTAAAAAATCACTTAACGTTAATTACAAAGGTTTAACAGTTTAGAATTAGTGGTTGGACCCGTTCAAAAAAAAAAAATCTTACCCAGGTTAACCGTCAGTTAGACCTATTGATTATCCGGGTTACCCGGGTGTAGCTTCGAAAATTGGGAACTGAAAATAATCCGAATACTCAAATTATTACATTCTGAAAACGGATCAGAATAATTTCGTACTATATCGTCTCCAATTTGCTATGTATAAAGAATAATCCCTTAATTATATGTATATACGCAATAATAATATATATATATATTTTATTAATGAAGCTGAAAATGGCTGAAGCTGAAAATTAGAGGTCTCGATTTGAAAATTATAACCCTGCTAAAATCTACTTATACTCTTAATATAACCCTGCTAAAATCTACTTATACTCTTTTAATATAAACTCTAACCCTAAATTCTAATCTAACTATAAAAAAAAAAAAACTAAAAAATGCACCCTAAAAAATTTCAAAAATTTATTAAAAATTTTTAGCTTCAGCCACCACATTAATTATAAATTTTGTTTCGACAGTTTTTTTCAAATTCTATTTTAACTTAACGTTAAGTCATTTTGGAGGATTCCAAATTATTTAAGTCAATTTAATAACCACTTAAGTGGATTCCGAATCTATAGAATTCCGAATTCACCTACAACATTTTTGCCAAGGGGAGGAATTAAACAAACATTAAAATTAAACGAGGTTCAGTAGCTTAAAATAGGTCAAATCCTGACGTGCTCATTTTTAATGTTGATTGTTTGTCTAGCTTTCCGATCTGCCTCAAATTTTTCCGCGATACTCTGTTTAATTTTTTTGAGAGGGAGGGAACCTTGAAGGTGCGGGGGAAAATAATGTTAAACGAAGTTTTAAATTCAAATACCCTTAACAATTATTATCCGTCTAAGTTCAAGTTATATCTCGAATTTGCATAATTTATTCTTGCTTCAATTCATACTCTTTACTTAATCTCACATAATACAAATGTAAACCTAAATTAAACTAAATGTCGCGTGACTATCAATATCCCGTGTACCTGGTTCGGGGTATGTTGAACGAAACTAGTGCGGAAGTTAAATTTGCGATAAAACAATGTAGTAATACTTAACTAATAGTTGGCTTAAGCGTTATATGTTGTGCAATAATGTGGTAGTAATAAGAGTAATTATGCGGTAATGATTAGATAAGGGTGTTATTCTCAATAAACAGAGCGAGAACTTGTGCTAATAAAGTTAGTAATTATTATAAACTTGGTGGTAGTACCTATCTGCAGTCCAAGAATAAGGCCAAGCGAGATAAAACTTAGTGGATTTAGACCAAACATATAGGTAGCTAGGAGCTACGTTGACACTAAACCTCGTGAGGTAATAAAACCATTTTAATGACACAATATACTCCGGATAATTATCTGCTTTAACTAACTGGATATCCGGTTTATCCGCGGATTACCCGGGTAGCCTCTATCCGGGTCTAACCTAGGGATCGTCCCAATGATTGTCGTAACTTGAATTTAAATTGCCGTAACTATAGAAAGTAGAGATGGGCAAGGTAATAATGTAAGTAATAATTACTTATGTTTTACCCAGTACTTAAACTCACCAATTATTGCTTATGATGTATGATTATTACTTATTACAATTTTCAAATGTAATCTGGAGAGTAAAATTTTAAACTCAATAATTTGTTGTTCGAATTGAATTTTGCATCTTATTTATTACGTAAAAAATTGTCGGAAATAATTAAATAAGTAATAATATGTTACTTACTTTGCCCATCTATAATAGAAAGTAATATAGTAAGTTAAGGGACCAGCGAGTTTTTAGTTAATAATAATAATAATATCGATATTTACTGTAATAATTTTAAAAACTACAGTATTGTAAAATTATTAAAATTATTCATGAATAATTATCACATCCTTTTATTATTTATAACATCATGTAATAATAATATAATAAAAAGAATGCGACAATTATTAATAATTTAAACACCGATAATGACTGCAAATAGAATAATTGTCATACGTAGTTGTATATATCATAAAGCTAATCGCAAAAGCTTATACGTCAATTTTTCATTTGGTTGCGCCATACATTAAACTTACTATATCGATATTACTTACTATAGTTACGGCAAATTCAGGTTACGACAATCATTGGGGCATTACTAGTCAACCCCCTAGTACGTATAAAAACCTCATTCCCGTTATAGTAAATTTTTAGAAAATTTTTTATCGGTGCCGTTCACTTCACCGATAGTCATTTCATTTAGCCGATATCACATGGGTTTAGGGTTAGGGTTTTATTAGTTTCAAATATATTTTTTTAGTAAATTGTTACTTGGCGTGATGTCGGCTAAATGATCTGTCGATGAAATGATTGTCGGTGAAATGATACGGATCCAATTAACCAGACTCACTGCATTTGCGTGACATTTTATCTTGTTAATAACTATAATACTCAAAAATCCCCTGCGCACATTAAAATAAACTTGTTAAAAATATATCGTTATTTATTTATTTTAAAATTCTTGAAAATAAATTTTTCTTCCTCTTCTTCTTGCTTTTCCCAAACCTCTTATTTAAAATGCACGTTCTAAAGATTTTATTTCTATTTTATTTCTGTTTACTTTTTCTACGTATTCTAAATTCTTTACTAACTTTTTTTTACCATTATATATCATTGATAAACCATCTCTCTGTTAGGCCGTTTGAAATTAAAGATTCATTTAACGTTCTCCCCCTTCCACTTCTGAAGTTCCCCCCTTAAATTAAACAATGAGTATGGTCTGAAAAATTCGAGGCAGATTGGTAAATCACGGAAGTCTAGACAAACAATCAACATTAAACACGAGCTGATTTGGATTTAGGCTAACTTGAACCTAAGTTTGGATCATTTAAACCTCGTTTAAGATTATTATTAGTTTAATTTTTCCCCCTCCCCCTTCTGCACAATAACCGAAAAAAGAACGTTAAACGAAAGTTTAAATTCAAACGAAAAAAGTAATACGTATTTCAAATCTCCTAATTTCAATTTTCTCATTCAATATTCCATAACTAGGCACTTCTTTTTCTGATACGTTAGTTGTATAGCCGAAATCAGAATTATCGTCATGAATTTCGAGACCAAGCTTTTTCATCATTTATTTCTTTTCCTTTAATATTTATGGTATATTTAGTGTTAGTGTATAGATTATAATGACGGGATTTTTTTTTTTTTTTTTTTTTTTGCGATGTTTTTCTCTTGAAATAATCGTCTTCCTCTGCCTCGTTTCCACTTTCGTAACAATAACCAGCGTTATATGTTCTTTTTCCACTCTAATTCCTTTTTTAATTACTAATATCAGATGATTTTGTAATAATATCATTACTCTTATCACTCGCACACAAAATTTGTAAATTCCCTATTCTTATAGCGACCATGGTCGATTATCAAAAAACAAAAAAAAAAAAAACATAATTTACAAAAGAATACAATTTTTATTTTTTTTTTTGATTATCAAAAAAAAAGAAAAGAAAAAAAAACATAACTTATAAAAGAATCCAATTTTTATTTTTATTGATCCATTTTTTATTTTTTTTGATCCAACTTCAACTATACAAATGTTCAAACTGACTTTTAACCTTGATACAAATGAAGATAAAGTACAAGAATAATGAGAATAACGAAGCCGATAAAACTAACGGGAAAGTTAATTATGAAAATACCGAAATCGACATGAATTTGACAATGAAAATATTGATAAGGATTATGATAATAAAAACAAAGAAGGTCGAACAAAAAGTTAAAATTTATTAATCGTTAAAATAATTTAAAATTTCCCTCCTAATAAAAATCATGAGAGTTGAACCAAGGCGTTAATGATAACGATAATATTCCCTTTCGACTTTTTTGATAAATCCATATCAGATGATTTTTAATAACGCCTATCGATTCCAATTCCTTTTTGATAACCCATATCAGATGATTTTTGATAATATTCGAGAGCCTTCTGGTTATTCCTTTCGACTCCAATTCCTTTTTCATAGCAATGTGCAAGAATGATTTGAGCTATAAGTTTGAATTGATTTTCATGGCACCAATTGATAATATACTTTATTAAATGGTTTTCATTATTTAATGCGTTTAGAATCGATTCTAAATTATCGCCTTTGAATATATCATGTTTTTCAATTTCTTCAATAAATCGTTCAATGGCTTTATCTTCATTTTTGCGATCAAACAGACGATACACTCGTCCAACAATTACTTTTTCATGCATTTTGATATAGGAATAGAAGAAAGTGTTATGTTTATACAAGAAGAGAAAGCGTTTTGTTGATACAAGAATAGAAAGCGTTATGTTGAGAAAGTAAAAAACTCATTAACACTTATCAATTATATATGCTATGCACTCCCATAAAGGGGAAATTGGTATGCGCATTATTACTTCAGAAGTGATTTGGCTGCATTCTGCATTATTAACGTTAATATATTAGTGTTAGGTGTTTTGCTAATTATAACAAAGACAATATTATTTCATGTTACGCAAATGAATATCACTTTAACGTTAAACATTATTGTTATCATTATAAATTTAAAAAATTAATTATCGTTATCTGAACTAGAAAATAATATAAAATAGTTATTTTTTAATTTGTCAAGAGGATTTTTCGTTTTTTTTTTTTTTTTGCATTAAAAATTAATTTTTTTTAGTAGTTGTAAATATATTTTTTAAAAACAAGGTTTAACGTTAAAGATATATCTTAGGAGCTTTTTATGCAATATTAGTGGTTCAATTCACAGGCCCCACGAAAACTTAAATTTTTTTTTTTTTTAGAATTCCTTTTATGTCAATTACCAGTATTCTATTTTTGCAATTTATTAATATATATATGTTACGCGTCGTTTTTAAATTCTGTCAATTATTAATTGACGCATGTCATTTTTCAATTGAAAAATGACATA